CATTTTCTGGACTCTGACCATCATTGCATTGCTGAAATATACTTTTATAGTGCTCAAAGCTGATGATGAAGGAGAGGGTATGTATCTTTAGTAACTATCTCGTTGAGTAAACTTCGCAGAATTTGAGCCTTTCAGATTAACTTTTCTTGTAAATTTGTAGGTGGTACTTTTGCTTTATATTCACTGTTGTGTAGAAATGCAAAAGTTGGCTTGCTCCCATGTGATAGAAGCACCAATCAGGTTATGCTTTGTGAAGAGACAAGTCCTTCTAAGAACAATGCCGATTCAAGATCACGAAGAGCCATTGAGAAGCACAAGATATGTCACTATCTAATATTGTTCTTAGCGCTCTTCGGTTCCTGTATGACAATTGGTGAGGCAGTTCTCACTCCAGCACTTTCAGGTACAGGAATCTATCTAATTTAAATTTATATTTTCTTACAAGTAATTGTATGTGTAAAATTTAACAATTTATCTATCCTTGTGTGATTAAGTCACATAGCTTCTCTATATGTTCTTTGTCTGTTTACCAGTGTTATCAGCTTCAAGTGGTGTTCAGAGATCCTTGTCAGATATGGTACAAAAATGTAAGAGCTTTTTACTGAGACTAAGAATATAACTTAGTCTTTTGTAAGCCAATATCATTACCTGCTACTATGTGTTTCTGATTATCTTCTTCTCTATAACCAGTTTCCTCATCACAACATACCAATGAATCTGTGTCAAGGGCTCTGAAAAGATGTAAGCTCTATCCTGCTATTGATTCATATTGTTCTTTCAAAATGCCTCTATGTTATGGCAAGTAATTCATGTGCTTGGATAAAAAGTGTAACCTTTTGTGGTTTTACTCTTACTTGCCATTTAGTACTATATGTCCTTGTAGAGGGTGAACCACGACGCAACGGTAAGGTTATAAATTAGTAACCAAGAGGTCACAGGTTCAAATCTTGAAAACCGTCTCTTCGCTTGTGGGGGTAAGGCAGTTTACATCTACTCTCCCCAGACTCTACCAGGTGAGAGTCTCATGCATCAGACTGCCAATTTTATACACACGAAGGTTTTAAATAGTGGTTGCGGTTGCATTTTTGGAAACTCTCAAAACCTTGGCGATTTGGAAAATTGTAGGCATATGTGGCCAATGCGGCTACAATTTCAGTCGCGATACTATTTTTAAAACTCCCAAAACCTTAACATATTAGCGAATCTGATATTAGAACAAAGACTGGTTAAAACAATATGATCTTCATTAATTTATTATGAATCTGATATTAGAACTTAGAAGAAAGCATAGATGGTGCTTAACTTTTTCCTTACTTTTACCTTCAAGTTGCAGTTCTGATTGATTATTTTATTTTTAATCAAGTAAAATAAAAATTTTAAGTTGTTCACTTTCTGCTTAATTTATTCCAGATGTACCTGTTCCCTCTGCATGTGCTATATTGGTTGGCCTGTTCATGCTGCAGCGCTTTGGGACTCGTAAAATCGGATTCATGTTTGCTCCAATTATTGCTGTTTGGCTGTTGTTTGTTAGTGTGGTTGGAGTATACAACATTTTCTACTGGGATGCAAAAATCATCTATAAAATATCCCCAGTATACATGTTCAAATTCATCAGTAATATTGACTTTAAAAGATGGAGGTTATTAGGAAGCGTAATTTTATGCGTAGCAGGTTAAAAAACATTCGAATAATGCACAACGATCAAGTTGTTAATATTCACTAATACGAGATCTCTTCTGTGTTAGAAAGGTTATGGTTAATATAATTACATACTATTGTTTTGCAGGATCTGAGGCAATGTTTGCGGACCTAGGCCATTTCACCAAGAAATCAATTGAGGTTATAATATATAACTTGTTCTGTGATTCTAATATATATTTGTAAATGAAAATTATTACTAACTCTGCATAATGTGTTTGTTGTAGATTGCATTTATATGCTTGATCTATCCGCTTCTTATTTTATGCTACGCCGGTGAGGCTGCATATATGTCCAAAAATTTACACGCTCCTCATTTTAACCATCTTAGTCAATCTATGCCAAGTAAGTTAGACAAGTATTTTATTTAGAGATACTTATTGTCCCTACAAATACACTTTGCTAAAGTGATGCATGGTAATTGCAGGTCATTGCAAACAAGTGTTCATAGTACTATCTCTACTCGCTTCAGCTATCGGAAGCCAAGCAACCATAACAGCGTGTTTCTCCATCATTAAACAGTGTCTGGCATTGAACTGTTTTCCGAGAGTGAAAATTATTCACACATCAAAAACAAAACATGGCCAGATTTACATCCCTGATGTCAATTGGTTATTGATGGTTCTCAGTCTCACTGTCACAATTGGTTTTAGAGACATTGTAAAGATTGGCAATGCAACAGGTATTCCATTTTTTATAACATTTCGTGCTTTTCTAGCGCAGCAAGATTTTTGTTTTTTGATCCGTAAACCATTTCCTTAGCTCTAGTTTGCAAAACCGTCCGCAAAATTTGACAATTCATTTATAAGGAAACTTTGAACTTGAAGAAAAAGAGGAATTGGGAAACAGGGGAGAATGATGTTTAGCTGTAACAGAAGGCAATTATGGGAGCACCTAATGCCACTCTTGTTTTATTAAATTTTCTATCGGTTTTTCTCTCGTGTCCTTCATTAGTTTGTGATATATTAGATTAACTATAAATTTGATAAAGGGTATTAGAAAAACCAATTAAAAAGTTAGTTAGGATTGGCTTAAAAACCTGACTTAAGATGAATGCATGAATCTTCTGTAGTTTGTACCATTCATGGCAGTATCTTGATATAAGGTCATTATATGTGGCAGGTTTGGCTATAATATGTGGAATGCTTGTGACAACTATTCTGATGTCACTAATCATTTCTTTATATTGGGAGAGGAATTTGATTCTATCTGCATGCTTTCTCCTATGTTTTGGCTTTCTTGAGGTTGCATATCTTTTAGCATGTCTGCTACAAATTCACAAGGGAGCTTGGTATCTAGTTGTCCTTTTGGTGGTGTCCATGACAATAATGCTTTCATGTCACTACGGAACTATGAAGAAGTATGATTTCGATTTAGAAAACAAGGTATCGACTGAATGGCTTATAGGTGCCTGTCCAGGCCTTGGGATTTCCAGGGTACCGGGAATTGGCTTCATTTACACTGACGTAGTAACAGGAATCCCAGCTTTCTTTTCACATTTCATCACTAATATTCCTGCATTTCATCAAGTGTTAATCTTGGTGTCCTTCAAGTCTATACCGGTGCCTTATGTCCCCGAAAGTGAAAAGTATCTCATAGGTAGGATTGGACCAAAAGATTATAAAATTTATCGTTGCATCGTCAGATATGGATACTGTGATCTTTCAAGGGATTCAGGCGATTTCGAGGAGCAGATTATTCAGTCTATAGGTGAATTCATCTCCATTGAGAAAAGTGACATCGAATCCATGGTTTCACCACATGAAAAAATGATACTTGTTGGAAATCCTTCACTAGATAGTAATGCTTTAGTTCCTTTTGACGAGGGTGACATGTGCATGGAGCCGAGTGCAGTGAGTAATGAATCTCAGATAAGTCCTGCGAGCAATGACTATCAGATATGTGATATTCGGCCTAACAAGCGAAAGAAGGTTAGGTTCATGTTGCCTGCTAATAGTCCGAAAATGCAAACATCTGTGAGGGAAGAGCTCATGGAGCTAATTGATGCAAGGGAGAGTGGCAGTGCCTATTTCTTAGGACAGTCGCATTTAGTGGTGCGCGATGGCTCAAACTTTCTCAAGAGATTCTTAATCATGGTCTACCGATTTACCGAAAAAAATTGTAGAGAGCCTCCGGTAGCTCTTAACATTCCTCATGCAGCTCTTGTAGAAGTTGGTATGGTGTGTACTATATAAGCTGAAGAACTTATAGGAGTTTACCTTTATAGTAATGCAATTCTTCTCTGTAAAAATATGTTCTTATGTTTGCTTAGTTTTAGGTCCATATTATAAGGATATAATAAAAACAGATACCCCTATACACCCCTTTAGATGGTACATGTTTTGAACTTATAAAAGGTATACACCTATCAAATCAAAATGTACTTTTTTTCTTCCAATTCCATTATTGGAATATCATATATTATTAGTCATATATGTTAGGATTATTCAAGTGTGAAGTCTCACATTGGATATGTGGGGATGAGTAATAGAGTTTATAAGTAGAAAAGGCTCATAGAATTAATACCTTAGGGTTTTGTTTCAAGACGTGGTGCATCACTTGTGGCTCTGCACTCTTCCCATACTCTGGTAACAATGGAACTCCAAGTGGTTGGAGACTCCGTGGTCACACTCTAATCCAACAATATATTCTTATCTCCATCTCTTAATATTTTTTGAAGTTGGTTTAGTGGTTAGATTCTTTTATATGCTCCAAGTATAAAAAATGGAAATTGTGACATCAACTTTGGATGAAAGTGTTGTTTTTCACTCATAACACAAGCATTGAGTATGGTGTGTGATTCATGTGTCTTAAAAATGATGGAGATTACAATCAATATATATGTCCATAAACATAATCATTTAGACTATGATAAAAGATTCATATGATCCAATTATTACAAACAATATATGTGTCCATAAATATAATAATTTAAACTATGATAAAGATTCATATGTCAATAACCTTGTCCCCAAGCAATCTATAACTCAATGTTAGAAATTCTTGACGACAAAGAGAGCACTCCAACTACAACTGCAACATGTTATTTGAGCTCTAAAGTCAAGAAATATAATTAAGATAACTTATCTCTTTTCCACCATTTATACCAAATTATTATATATATATATATGTTTCTCACTCCTATAATTTCAGAGTTTAGAGTCTATGCTAGAAGTGGAGAAAAAAAATCACTTTTCATACTTTAGGCTACTTATTTTTGCATGTGGGATAAATTTTACTAGTTACTTCTACCTCTAATATATATGGTTCTTTGCATATATAATTAAAGGTGGGAGAATGAGGGTGTGGGGAATGTTGTCTAGGCTCGAGAAGGCTACTTCAAAACTTTGAGTCGATATTTTTTTCGGACTAGGCTTCATTCCCCTCACTCACTCCTCTCTCTACTACATTCTTACTTCACTCATGTACATTCCAGATGTTGTCATGTTCCAAATTGTGCTTGGACTATTTCTAAATAGATAAATGTTATTTTTACTACCACATTTCTAGTTCTAGATAACATTTGCTAGATAATGTTTAAAATAGTTTGCTATTACATTTTATTTTGAGACTTTAACTCATATTAGAGACTATTTGATCTGAATACTAGTTTAAATTTCTCAAATTTTTAGATATTCATTTATAATTTTATTTGTGGTACCAGATAGATAAATGTTCTTTTACAGGGAGAAGGGCATCGTAGATCATAGATTCCCACACTTATTTTGATGTGGTATCAAACTGAGGAAATGCAAAGGTAACAATTACATTGTCTTGTCTTATATGAAGATATGTTGTCCCTTTTGGTGTCTCCAATGATATCCAAATCAATCAAAATATGTCATTTCATTTCATTTTTTTTTATAAAAACATAAAATAATATTTTATATTATTTAATATAATTTTATTGAAAGAGGACATGGAGACATAATATGTTTTGGGAAAATGATCTTTGTTCGTATCACATTTTAACTTCAGTAGACATTTATTTATGATTTTTAATACACAGTCTAATTAATTGGCACATGGGACAAATAATATCTATTCCTTTAAGATACCAACTATGTTAAATCACATTTTGCTATGTTTGTTCCATTATTAAAAATTAAAAGGAGAGACTAAAAATATCTCACATATTATAGATAATAGAAGAATTACTTTATATTATAATCACTTAACTCGTTATTATTGTAAATTGTAATAAAAAATTATACGACCTATAAACTTTTTATAGGCAAAATACTCCATGTAAACCTAAGAAAAAACAAGATTTGACCAAACACTTATTACTAAACTACAATACTAGATATAAACACAAAAAACAATAAGATATATTTCACATTAAACATATATTAGTTGCCTGTAATTTTCTTTTATAGATGCTCAAAAACTTTGATAGAGTAAAGTAGGTGGTGATTGAGTTAGGATCATCTCGATTAATAGAGGAGTAAGAAGTAAGTGCTTCAAAAAGTAAAAGAAATATAATTTTTAATGATATATTTATCCTTCTAATTACAATGAAATTACACATTTATCATTAAAAATATAAAAAAAAATTATTTATTTGTCTCTCCATTAATGAAAACGATGTAACGATTATATGAATTTGTAGTGTGAATATGAGTTTGACTAGCATATTTTATCATAATAATGATTGAATTGGTCAACATGTTTTTCACACCAATATAAACTGCATGTTTATCACGTTATTCACATTATGAAATACAACAATAAGTACTTGTAATTATTCATACAACAATATAAACTAATACTAAGATTCTTTGAATAACATCATTTTTTTAACATAATAATAATTGAATTGCTTAACACGTTGTTCTAAGATTCTTTTTCCATTTTTAGCAATGTAAACCAAACCCCTTGCATCTTTCCCACATTATTCACATTCTTAAAATACTTCAATCTCAAATAGAAGAGTAATTACTTATAATTATTTATACAAGTACTTATTATATGTATTTGAGATTGAAGTAACTATTGTATAATTTGTATTTCTCCTAATGAAACTTTGCCTTATCTAAAAAAATAGTAATTACAAATTAGTCGGGTAGATATAACCATAATTAGGAATAATTAATTGTATACACGACCAAAATCATAATATTATAACTTCAATACAATTATGAGCCATAATTTAAAATCTCAAATTGGATTAACATTTGGTAGTCAATTTATAGTAAGAAGCTTCATAACCCACATGGAACTCAAGTGAAAACGTGAATGAAAAAGGCCTTCCATTTTTTTCCATTCAGTTTTATACGAAGCAGATTTTATGTCTCACAATATGTATCATTCCATATTTTGTAGGTAGTATTAGTTTAATAAAATAAAATCAAATAATAAAGGATAAACTTTGATGTTATTTGTCAAGAAAAGTATGATATGTATAGTAAGTTTTTAAAAAATATGTATGTTAATTAAATCAAAAGAAAAAAAGAACTTTAATTCAAAAGGATTTTCAGAGTCAACCCTCTAGACCCTGCAAACACATCCATTGTGTTTATGATATTTTTATGTAAATATACATATTCTTGTACTTATATTGAAACAAATTGCATCCAATATCACAATTATTCAATTTTAATGTAGGCCCACATTGCATCTTCAAATTTTGTGAACAATTGTTTATCTCATTGATATTAAAAGAATTAGGAAGAAAGAATGTGTCTCATTCTCTATCTCACCCACTTAAATCTAGACATGTGAATATTAATGTATTACTTTTATAAAATAAAATTAAAACTATGTGTTGAGTTTTATTTGTTGACAAACTCTGATTAATTCGGGACAGGGAGAGACATGAAGATTAAGGAACAGAAGATATTGGTTAGAAGAAAGAGATGCAACAAATGTTTTTGGGAAGGTTGATTTCAAGTTCTATCAAGGTGGTTAGCTGTAAATTATTTTGATCCACTGTATACTTGTATTAAGACTAAATCATCCCTAGTTTTTCTTTCACTAATTCTTTTATTGAAATAAAGCTATTCACAATAATACATGAACAAAGAAAATATACAAATCACCTTAATAGATTAAGAACAAAAAAAATGCTGCCCCAATATTGCATTTATCTATTTATGTGTTCCAAAGTTTAGAGTAGTTGCATGCATTTGAACACAAAAAGATGAAGAAAATCAAGAAAGAAATATACACAAGACTAAACATAAATGTAGAAAATGAATCAGAATCTTAATTTGATCTCTTAAGATTCTTAAAATCTGAGTCTATGCATTCCACACCAGCCCTATAAGGATTCATCAATTTGAGAAGTTCTGTGGTTTTCACTTTGGTTTTATCATCACAACCAACTTGCAACACTAACAAAAGCTTCTGAAAAGCACCAACTTGAAGTGCTTCAACTAGAATCTTCCCTTCATCACTTTCTTCAAATTTGCATAGCTTCCAAATAGAAGAAACAGAGTAATCTGTGCCTAATGCTGAAACTCTCAATAGTTTCTTAACCAAAAGAGGGATTGTTAGTGCATTATCATAAGCTTTTTTTCTTCCTTCATCACAACTGCATAGTGAGTCAATAATAGCTAAAACCTTCTCACAAATGTTCCTTTCTGAGTCAATGAGTATGTCAAGCATTGAAGAAACCAAACCCAATTCAACAAATCTCAATGTTATGTTGTCATTATCAGAAGAAGAAACTAAGTACCAAACCACACTCAATGAAGCTTTAGTAATGGTTGGAGTACTAAAAACTCTTTTGTTAAGGAATTGTAGTAATAGTTCATTGACTCCTTCAATTTCCACCAAGGCCTTCATATTTTGCTCATCACCAAATGAAAGAAGCTCTTTCAATACAACAATGGATTTCTCTTTCTTTGAAAGATCTTGTTGCTTCAAAAACCAAACCATGCAATGTAATGAAGCCAATGACCCCAAAGATTTTTTAGCTTCAAGTTGAAGTGGAAACATCCAAATGAGACAAGACAAAATCTGATCCAATACACTCACATTCCTCTCAGTTGAATCATTTGCAAATGCATCAAATGCTGAGGCTAATACATTACCTGCTCCATTCTCCACTATACACCTTCTATTCCTCTCACTCTCAGCACCCCATTTTTCAATTCTTTGCACCAATTCTAAACACCCATATGGATCCAAACGTAAAGTTAAGGCCTTTACATGAAGAAGAACCTCAACTACCTCAAATGGACTAATGGGTATTCTTGGTGTTGGAATTCTTTCAACCCCATGTTTCTTATTTTGCACACACCACTCTTGGATCATTATCCTAAGGGTATGGTTGGGAATGAGATCAAAGTTTGTGACAATTTGGTTGGTAAAAGGACATGTGTAGTTCCCATTTTCAAACCACTTTTCTATGTTTTCTCTATCATATGTGATCCCAGTGGATAATGTCACAGGATCCTTCATCATATCAAGTGAAATTGGACACCAAAAGTGGTTAGGAGTCACTAACTCCTCCACCATCTTTGATGCTTTGTGCTTGTTGTTCTTCCTTATTATTCTTCCCCACAATAAAACCATTATTTCTCTTATAGATCAAAAAATATATGAATGTGTGTTATGTTGTGTATTTTTGTGTTGAATACTTGTAATGGGTTTTGTTTGTTTATATAATAAGATCATAAGAGGTCATAAGGTCTTTGGTTTTCATACAAAGTGTGCTTAGACTTAGACCCAAAGAAGAATTGAATAGAAGCATTCAAAATTGAAGGGTAAGATTTGTTAAGTAGAAGTAGGAATCGTTAGTTGAATATTGACATTGACCATTCAATAGTTGAACATTTTATCAAACATCTAACCGTCAAAGGAGAGAATGGGTAAATGGTTTTGGTGTTGGACCCTTTGATGCACGATTCTCTAGGTTCCATCCAATATTTCATAATAAGATGGAGAGTAAGTTTAAAGAATGTGTTTCATATTTTAACCATTAATTTTAAAAAATCTAATGATTTAAATCTACTCACTAATTCAAACTATTAGATTTATGTAGAATTGCTGACTAAGATATAGATATGTTTTTTAAACTTATTCTTATAGCAAGTTAATTCTCTCCTTTATTTTATTTATAACAATGTTTGTTTATCATCATCTTTTGGATAAAAAACTAATCACTATCGAGACGTATAATTGTTCTCTAACAAATGTAACTCACAATAGTCGAATTATTGACCTTTTGGTCATCCTGGGATCTAACAGAGTATTATACCAGTAGACCAATATCTTGTTGGTTTATTTATAACAATGATTTACTTTTATTATATTCACCATTGATATTTGACATTTTCAAACCATATATACTTCATTAGTTCATAAAAACGCTCCAAATTATTTAATTTTCAGATTTATGGAGACCCAAAGGCTTTGACTTCCTTGCATGGACAAAAGTGTCC